CCAATTTTCTCTTTCTTGTCTTCAATCTTGACCTCTAGTGTGATGGACCATTTCTTCATTGTGTTCTTAATAAAGTTCTTTATCTTCGTTGGAACGTTGTGTATTTGTAAGGTGAGAGCCAGCCATTCATGATTAATTGAGTCGAAAGCTTTCTTCACATCAATTGTTCTAGAATCAATTAAAGCGGTGTTCATCTTATTATTATTATTATTATTATTATTATTATTATTTTGACCTCTTTCTCTTTTACTCCGACGAAGGACTAGCGTCCGAAGCGTCAGTAAATTTTTTCATTTACCTTTTTATCATTACTGTATTATTATTATTATTATTATTATTATTATTATTTAGCATTAAATTAGTATAGTATAAGAAATCGCACGACATTGAGTAACAATTCGTTATTAATAGGTAGTAATAGGAGTAATGTTTGAAAGTTGTCAGTTGTAATTACACGAGGCTTCCCACAAGTGCAATTTAAGAACTTTCAAAACATGAGTAGATATGAATAACGAATGGTACGAAGCGGAGGTGGTGCGATTATTCATTTATGGTACACTCAACTAATCTCTTGAAGCAAAGGCATTTATCTGTCTATTTGGCCAATTTTCTCCAAGAAAAAAAGCACAACCTAATTAACGAAGGACAATAAARATGCATAAAACAATTACAGTTGTAATGGTTTTAGCATTTTTTAACTAAGTGTTATAAGTTCAAAACATAAATATGAAATTGAATATGTGTTTTCCACAGCAACTTACAGTAATAGGTACTCCTACGGAGTACAATTAACGAATTTTAATTAAAATTGTATTCCTCTCGACCAATCAGAATCGAGTAATTTTATTGTGTTTTATAATTTTTAAAATTTACAACTACGCCTGGTTTTGTTCTCCAAGTTTCAACTTCTCCAAGATTCATTCTGAAGAAGGTTTTACATCAGAAATAGATTCTGGTTTAGTTTATGACAATAGACCATTTTCGAGTTCCAAATTTCCGCTTTATTCCTTGATTACAGACTCATTTACTCAAGGTTAACTTCGTATTAGGCCCCGTCCCCACTTATCCGGAAATTTTTGTATCCGCAAATTATTTTTTGCGGATACGAAAATGTTTGCGTCCACACGCAGCGTATTCGAATCGTTTTCACCGTCCACATGTATCCGTTTTCGTAAAATTTGCGGATACGGACACAAAAAGTTGCGGACACGTGTGCACGCAGCCCCTATCCGTAAAAAAAATAATTGCGGATACAAAAAKTAGCGGATACGTGTGGACGGGGCCTTAGTGTCTAGATATTCAAAAATACCAACGGTAAAGTAAAGAATGCACAACTYCAACAATACAAACACTTCGAAATTCCACGGACCCAACATATAAATATACTCTGCATGAAATCGAGGCTAACACTGAGCAAAAGAGAGCTCGAAACTGGAATATTGYTGCCGTTATTTGAAAATTGCGTGACACTTTTGTTGTATGTCACACCAAGCAATTTTCAGTGTGACTAATTAGTCTCGAAGCTGATAGCCAAATTTGTCTGACACATATCTTGTCTTTCTCGAATAACTAGGTTTTGCATCACATCTCTTCAAAGGAATACGATTCTTCTAGTCCACACTCTCGTAATTGTATCGGGAGTCTTTCGTAACAACTTCGAGAGTTCGTCGTATTTCGACACGTACGATGGCTTCGCATTACTGGACCACGTTTTTCATAGTCAGCAAACTAGCAGGTTTATGACATGCGCACAGCTGTGCCTAACAAACCGCAAATGTAAATCTTTAAACTTTCAAGAGGTTGTTCAGAATAAAAAAGTCGGTTTTGCTTCGGATAATCTATGTGAACTTAATGATTTTGCACCGACAATGGACCGAGATTTTATAACATTACAGGAGCGTAGAGGATCTGTTTATGCAAGGCTTATAAACGGCTTGGAGCTGGAAAAATTCGTATTTACAAACCTTGGAGGGGTGGGACCCACAGGTCCAACAAGTGTTCAGGAATACAAGGGGACAAATTTGGAAGGCAAAGTTCAGCTTGACAAAGGCATTCAGATATGGAATGTGACATTAACTGGTAAATATTCTATCTGGGCACTTGGAGCTTCCGGCGGAAATGGAACTTGTACGGGAAAAAGTGGATGTTCAGGATGGAAAAAAGGCGGGAAAGGCGCGTCAATCAAAGGAACTTTCCGGCTTGAGCAAGGAATGAGATTGAAAATCCTCGTTGGTCAAAAAGGACGCACCAAAAGTAATTTTGCAGAACTCCCAGGTGGAGGTGGAGGGGGGTCATTTGTCTTACTTGCTGAAGAACTAAAACCTCTGCTTGTAGCCGGTGGGGGAGGAGGCGGGGGAATTAGCATGCCGGCGTACCATGACGGTGATCCTGGACAAGCTGGAACAAATGGCACCCGTGAAGGAGGAGTCAATGGAAATGGTGGCCGGGCTATTAATATCGATCCTGGTAACACAATTCTGGCCAGCAGTGGCGCTGGTTTTCGTGGTGATGGGATGGTTACAGCAATCGGAAATCCAGCCAAAGCTTTCATCGAAGGAGGCAATGGTGCATYTAACTTGGTTGACAACGGGGGGTTCGGTGGGGGAGGGTTTGGTATGACCCACCCGGGGGGAGGGGGTGGATACTCAGGGGGAGGGGTCATTGGGAATTCTACTGCTGGTGTCGCAGGGGGTGGTGGGTCGTACAACTCGGGAACATCACAGGAGAATGAAGCTGGTGTCAATGAAGGAGATGGTAGGGTTGTCATTATACATATCAATTAAAATCCTTGGCGAACCTTAGATACTCCAAAACTAAGTTATAACCATTACTCCTGCACATAAATGTGCAATAATTCTAAATAGTTACTACGATCAACCATTTGAAATATTAAGTAAATAGATCAACATAATGTGATTATCTGATAGTTACCAACTTGTTAGATCAACCGACATGGCCGTTCATTCATTGTTATTTATATCTCAAGGGATTTCGAGCCATGTGGTTGCACCCCATACAGATCAAGTCATTTCCTAGAGTATCATTCCCTTTTAAATGTTGTTTATGTATGAGAAGACACATGAACCTGGATACAACTCAAACGAAAAAGGGGAAACATTACACCGAAGATAAAAAGGTCTTTCGACACGCTTATAAAATGATTCGCCTGCTTTTATATACAGGTATTTCACAAAAAGATAAGTGAAGGTTTTGTTACATGTATACCATACCCAARATGCACTGTGGGTAATGTGAACACCATAAGCGAAGGAAATTTTTAAAGAAAATTTTCCCCAAACTTTGTCTGTACGTTTTTCCAGTATATATATTTTTCTGAGCCGACATTATTTCACATATGAATGCATATATTTCGAGAGCTTGATAAGCAATTCTTAGCAAGATGCAGTACGCAATATGCAAGAAAACCTAGCCGCTTCGCCGCCAACCTTTTTAAGAAAAGCTTTATAGTTGTGGAGTCTTCCAAGAATCGAAGGCCGTTGAAAACAAGCCGATCAGCCGAAACCACTTCCTTTCCTCAAAATAAAATTCGTTTCCACCGCTTGTTTGTAAGTAATTCGTAAATGTATTTATTACCAGATTATATTCGTAGTATAAACAACTTATTTGAACAATTGAGTATGTTCGGATATGTGAGGTATTTCGGGCGTAAAAATAATAAGAAGAATTAAAAAAATATTACAAGTACAATAAGGAGAATGTGTGGGATCATTTTACTGATCTGTAGACAGCTAATTTGGCTTTAAGTCGAGCGAGTTCAGCATGGTCCTTGACTCTTTCATGTCGCTCCTTTTCAAGCTCAATTTCAAGCTGTGCTTTCTGGCAAGAAAATATAATGGTGAAACGTATGTTTTTTTGACAAATTTGAACGTGAGGTGAATAGATTGAGAAACACTGTACCTTTGAGTGTAAAGTACGGATTTTATCCACCGCAATGTTATCGACTTTTTGCTGTAAGCTTCGTTCTGCTGCCAAGTCAGGATAGACTACCTCTAGATCACGGCTTAAATAATGAAAGGCGAAGGAAAAAAATCAGTCTGTCAAATACCATATTCTCTACTCATGATCGAATAATCAGGTCATCAGTATTCTTCAGTACCTGGGTTGTGGATTATTTGGAAGCCTTGGTGATAATAATCCTAAGGTTTTGTCGCGATGTATTTGTCTGACTTCTAATTCCAACTCTTGGTTCCTGTTACAAAGGAAATTTGATTTTTGTCCATTAATAATCGCAGAAAATGGGAATGTGCACTTTTTTTCAATGCAATTATAACTAACAAAGAAAGTAAAAATAATAAAGAAAGTAAAAATAATAAAGAAAGTAAAAATAATAAAGAAAGTAAAAATCCTCGTCTTAAGCAAGGTATAGAAATTCAAAGAAACTCCATACGGTGACTAAGTTTAAGGTAGTGGTAATGGTGACCGAGGTATTAGTGATGGTAGTGGTSTAATGGTTGTGCTGACAGAGGTAGTAGTGATGGTAGTGGTGGTAGCTGTAGTGGTAGTTGT